GCTTCAAATGTTTCATTTCTAGGCCGTTTTTAAGCGTTTGATGAACAAAACGCGTTTGAACGCTACTTGTCAGATAAACGCGTTCGAACGCGTTGGTATAGAAGCGAAACAAAAGGCGTTTGAACGGCGCAAATGTTTCATTTTTAAGCCGTTTAAACGCGTTTGGATTGCGTTTATAAACGCCGTTCGTAAACGCGTTTTTTAGAGCCGAAATTGTTACATGGGTCTTTCCATTCACTGCATATCACTCTCTCATTGTTCATTCTATTTCTCTCCATTCATATTTCATCTCTCTCCCTTTGTGTGTACGTGTTGTATGTCTCTCTTTGTTATTTGCACTATATATATTGATTGTACAGCACATATATTTCAGTCTATTGTATAATAAACTCAGTAACGGCATCGTTTCCTTTACATTTGGCGATCTCGCCTCAGCGAACTTGCTGAGAGTCCCTGATCGTATGTCAGGTTGTGATATATCGGTGTAGGTACTTGTATACCTCTTAGGTTACTATTAGTAGTTTAGCGGTGACGTTCCTGTCACTAGTGGTACCTTTTCCGCTTTCTCTGGAGCAGTTGTGAATCCCTGATCATTTATCAGGTTGTTTGTTTTTGCGAGTGTGGACACTTGTACACATCTCACTCTTAATATTTCGTTATTTAAGGCGAAACAGGCGAGCGTAATTCGAAGTTTGATTGTTTTATTACGTGGTTTCACATATTTAACGTTCACTCAAATCATTGTGAACGCTAATTCCCAACCTTCTTCAATCCTTTCCTTATTGGTCTTCGGTCGAACTGTTGTCATCCGTACCGAGTCGTACTATATTCTTGGTCAATAGCCCTTCCTGGTTTACTTTATTCGAACAATATTCAGACATCATGAAGAATAAGAGTCGCAGTCATCTAGGAAAACCTGCAAACCGTGAAATCCCTATAGTGTCCGATTTCTATGAAGGACAGCGCGTACTGGCCTGGCATGCCGAACATAAAAAAATTCTTCTCACACATATAATCGCCTTACTTCCACACAAACAGGGCTGTCTGGTCAGTTTCGGTCAAGATGATGTAACAGCTCTCGTCAATTTTAAAGATGTGTCTATCTTGAACGAGCCGGAAATGTTATTTATGGATGACCACGTAATTTTTCTGTGGAACGACGGTGATTGGCAGCAAGCAATGATCGTCGATGAATTTCAGATGGATGATGCATATGTAGTAAAATTTCGAGATTTGGAGGTTAAATGCAAGGTATCTCCTAGAAAACATGCTCAATTGGATGAACAATGGGAAGCGTACATAACTGAATTAATTCAGATGTACAGAAGCGAAATGCAGGAGAAAGTAAAGATACGTGATGAGAAGATTGAAGCTGGAACCGAACTACACGTTCTCCCTCCCTCTGCCGACTCAAACGCTGCAGCAAATCAAGATATCACTCCAGTACAGTCATTCACTGTTCAAGAAGGTGATTTACTGGCTGCTCAGTTTCCGCATAGCGGTCACCCCCTCTACACTTTCGGTGAGTACTATATTGGAACAGTGATTAGAATACGTAAAAAATTTCGCATCGCGGTTATTGTGTTTGAAAAGTATATAATCGAAGACAAACATATGTCTTATGAGATAGCATTGGATCATATAAAGCCTCACACAATGGTAATTCGTCCCGCTTCAACAAACATCACTTCATTAGCCATATCAAGAGTTTTCTCAATTTCTTACCATCCTCAACACGACGAGTACATCAAATCGTATTATATGTCGAAATCCTCAACTGTTATCCAACATCCGACAGAAAAAGAAATCGTATGCCCACTTGGTGTCATCCTACAATTTGTATCGAGCTGGCCAGGAGGTACAGAAAACTGGGATGATCTCGAGATGAAACATCATGACTGCCCCTTACCTAAACCACAAAGACTCATCGTCTGTAACACATCTGCAATCCCCGTTCAGAACGTCCTTATGTCGCAGTCACCACTTATTCTTCACAGGCATGATGGGGTTTTATCATCGCATAAAGTGGAAAATTTCATCGAACCCTGCTCGAACACATTCAAATCCGTTTCATCTTGTCCCGAAATACAGGAACCTGTCCTGTCCGGCATTTTTATATCAAAAGCAGATCTGTCCTGCCCTCAGTTACTCGAGCTGAATGACTGTTCTCCTCTGTCATCAAAAGTCAATGACTTGTCTATTAAACAGTTGAGCAAAATGACTTTTGTCCTCGTACGTCAATGGCTCGTCACTATTCTCCAAAAGTAACTACAGTAAATTAACATCTATATATAGTATATTATAGCTACAGGAAGATCCCTTTGGGAAACTGGGAAAAACAGCTATTGTACAAGAGAGAGAGAGAGAGAGAGAGTGAGAGAGAGAGAGAGAGAGAAGAATATGAATGAAAAATACCCACAGAAATACATATCATAAAAAGCAGAAGAGTGAATACATATATCAGAAGAACAGAAAGGGAAACTAACCATCGAGTGACTATAAGAATATGTATATTGAAAGATGACAACAATTGATATGAGATTACGTTAACTACTTCCTAACATCTGTCTTATGTTTTTGTTCTTCTTGATTATTAAGAAGGCTTAACATCGAAAAATCTAGTTGGGATAACAGCAGGGTTAAACTTTTGATTGTTTGATATTTAGATGTTTTTTTGTTAAAGAAACAAAAGTTTAAAGCTACTGCTATCTCAACTAAATTTTTACTGAAACTGTTACCCACAAACATCACAAATTATATCCAAAAGTCTGATATTAAATCATTCTTTAAAGACGGATGCCAAGGTAAGAAAACGACTTTGCTTTTCTAGATTCAGTTTTCAGCGCTGAATCTGAAACATTTAAACTCGAAAACAAAATCCGGAAAACCTATGGTCACTTTTTTAAAAACGTAGATTTTTAAGGTTTCTGACATACTCCAAGTATTTTGAGAGTATCTCAGCGAGGAAACAGTTTTGGAAGATGGGAATGTGATATTCGTGCTCCTCATTCAGTTCTCTATCAAATGATGTATAAATGAGCGAAATCTAAATTTTGCTCGAACTCTGCTATCCGTGCATCTTAGATTGTTCGCATTGTTTTGAATTAGGAAATATTCTTAGACCTTTGAGGATGTTTGGTGGGTCTCGAGAAAACTTTTTTCATTTATATTAGATTAGGAAGCTCACACGTCAAATCAGAGAAAAATTCATAACATATTTTGGATAGGACTCCTAGCGAACACCGATCGAAGGAAACTGTTAGCATTGTCTTTGATTTAAAGTCATGGAAGGTAGTTCGCAGATATAAGTTCCTAAAGTCAAGTGACAGGGCGAGTGCAGACGAGCGTTACCTTGTATACTTGAAACAATGTGCATTAACTAAAAACAGTAATTTCTGATTTGAACTGAACTTCACGATTAAATGGGACAAAACTGTGAAAGAAGTCGTTTTCTTACCTTGGCATCCGTCTTTAAAGAATGGTTTAATATCAGATTTTTGGATATAATTTGTGATGTTTGTGGGTAACAGTTTCAGTAAAAATTTAGTTGAGATAGCAGTAGCTTTAAACTTTTGTTTCTTTAACAAAAAAACATCTGAATATCTGGCAAGTAATGAAAGAAATATTACGTTTAAGATCATCAACAACAATTGTTTCATCAATATTGTCATCAAACCAGTATAGTTTTAGTAATTCCAATATGTTTGATCCAGAATGATTTGATAATGAAAGAAATAAACATTTATTATTTTGATAAACACTTTCTAACATTTGACTATGGTTCCCATTGATGTATTGGTTAAGGTTGTAGATTAAATCATTTCTGTCTATTCTAAGCGACTATTAGTCTGAAAGACTAAATACACAAAATCAAGATAAAATTATTTATTTATCAACATTTATCCATCTGATGGATGTAAATTACACTACTTAACTCTTTACCTAACAAGGGGTCAATCATGACCCATTTGTAAAATTATTACATAAAAAAAGTGAAGCATGTGATTAAAAATGGATTGCTTTTGAGAGCAAGATAATTCCATAAGGTATCGATTGATAGAAAAAGATTTCCCTTTCCTTCACTTTTTGTTGAAGACATTTGAATCACAAAATGGAAAATTTTCCGAAAACTTAAAAAGTTTAAAAAGTTTTATTCAGTTTTTATTTTCTGTGCAAGAACGTTTCAGAAAGATGTAATTGTCGATTAGTGTTAACATAGATTTGTGGCATAAAAGTTTGCTGTGATTCACGTTATTTATCCAGTTTGAATGATCTAAAATTCATACAATGTAGGAATTAATAATGTTTGAGAAATTCATAGTAGTTGTAGTAACAAGCAAAGAACAAAAGAAGATATCATGTAAAATTTTGAAAGTTTGAAATCGCAAAACTGAGAAAGATAAGTAAAGCCAGCAAGAGATTCAAAAGACGAAAGGTCATCCTAGACCGAATAAATACGTCCATCAGTTTCTAACTAGTAAATTTATATGCACATTGAACAAAATCGTTTGGCTTCGTTTCAAAATACGTTTCAAAGTCAGTACCTTCAATGTCTTAATTATTGGAAAAAACACGGTAACAAAATAATAGAACAGGATGGCACGCGACACGAACTTATTTTGATACCTGTGCAGTTTCAAAATCTAAATTTTCTAAATCGGAATATGACTTCATACTTCGAATGACAACTTTCTTTTTGGGGCATCTGTTGTCTCCCATACTTGCCATTCCCTGTTCATTTCACAAGTCCCTGTGAGACGACGATTAAGTGCTAAGGAATCAATATTCGTATGTACATTGTGTTAAACCGGCGAATTGGATTGTTGAAACAAAGGACGGGAGTCGACAGTACAACATATGAAGAAAGATAAGCACCGTGAAAAAATCAGAGAGTAGAAAGAAAATATCACATTGATTAGCGATGCTATTCGAACAGGCAGATATGTTTCTGTATTGAACTCACATATAACTCCTTTTCTCTGTGCTTTTCTTAGTTTTTTACTCGTAAGCGCGGGAAAAAATATTTTAAGTAGGATGAAATCTTTTCTTTGAGAGTCGCCGCTTTGACGTGTACACAACATTGTCAGTACCGTTTTCCGACCAAAAAAATGCCTCCTCTTTTCCTTCTTTTAATCCAACGCTCCTCTTGAGGAAATTTTAACATTCCTCTTTTTTTCCTTCATTTTCTGAAAAGACTGTTGGGAAGCCAGTTTAAGTTTAATAGCTGTTCCAGGACAGGCATTAGCACTTATTTCAAGTCAAGGTAACTCAATATCGACTACATAAACAAAATAGCTACATTGTTTTTATCTCAAAGTGTTAGTTTTCTAGATCTGATGTCTTCATACGAAAACCGTGTGATATTCAGGTAGTGTTATTTAGTTATTTTATTTTCCTCTTTCTATCATTTTTCTAGTACATGTTTCAAGGCAGTTATATCTCAAATAGTTATACTATGTATTTTGTTTTCTTTGCTGTGTATTAGAGAACCTTTACGTTAGATATATGTGCATTTATTCATGATGTACATACCGATTGTGTTATGTCTATACGATAAGGAACAAAACTTATTTGTGCTAATTTTATTCATATCGTGTGTTTTTATTATCTTTGATGTTTCT